AAAAAAAAAAAAAAAAAGGAAAACAGGGCTCTTACTTTGGTGAATAATGTTTGCTTTGATGTTACATGGATAAGATGTAAGTTGCCACTCCTTTCACCGACCAAAAGAAACTTTCCTTCTTGACACAGGCCCACCACATCCACGACAGTATCTGAAAATTTCAAATCAACGTTACAAGCCACCTTCAATAAACCTGAGTTTCAATTTAGAAAGTGCCAAATTTTCATACCAAAAAGTCAATGATTTATACCAATCTATGCCAAATATGGTGATGCTTGCTTATAAGCCCAACACGTACAAGACAGGAGGCAGGAGGATCGACAGGGTGTCTCTCTGTAGTCCCAGCAGTCCTGAAACTTACTTGCTCTATAGACTAAGCTGCCCTCAACTCAGATCCCTCAGATCCACTTGCCTCTGCCTCCTCAGGGCTGGCAGGATCACATGTTTAAACATAGCTGGGGGGGGGGTGTGTGTATCTTTTTTTAAATTTGGGTTTTATTTTATCGTTTTGACTCTTAATGTAAGGTGGATACTCTTGTCATTTTACATTGTTTCTTACTGAAATTTTATATATAAATTATAAAATGTTTCCCTAAAATAAATAAATAAATAAATAAATAAATAAATAAACAAACATAGCCAGGGTTGCTAGGTAGTGTTGGTGTACACCTTTAAGCCCTAGGGAGGCAGAGGCAGGTGGATCTCTGTGAGTTCTAGGCCAGTCTGGTCTACAAAGCTACACAGAGAAACCCTGTTCCCCGCCCCTCCCCCCAAAAAAGATAGCCAGGATTTTAAATAAAAAAAGAGCTAATAAAACACAAAAACGCAATAACAAAAAAACAGTAAGATAGGAAAGCCTTTCACTTAAGTCATTCTTTAATAGTTTTTATAATCGTTCAAGACTTTATTTTTAAATTGTGACTCTTAAGTCCAGGCGTGGTGGTGCACACCTTTGATCCTATCACTCCAGAGGCAGAGGCAGGTGGATTTCTGAGAGTTTGAGGCCAGCCTAGTCTACAGACAAGGGCTACACAGAGAAAAACTGTCTCAAAAAAATGAAAAATTTCTGACTTTTTTTTTTTGTTTGTTTGTTTCGTTTCTTCCGAGACAGAGTTTCTCTGTAGCTTTGGAGGCTATCCTGGAACTCACTCAGTAGACTAGGCTGGCCTTGAACTCACACGGAGATTTGCCTGCCTCTTCCTCCTGAGTGCTGGTGTGCCACCAACGCCCTGCACACCTTTTTAATCCCAGCACTCCTTTTTAATCCCGGCACTCGGGAGGCAGAGGCAGGCAAATCTCTATGAGTTCAAAGCCAGCCTGGTCTACGAGTTCCTGGAGAGGCTCCAAAGCAATATAAAGAAACCCTATCTCAGAAAACAAAAACAAACAAAACAAAAACAAAAACAGAGTGTGCAACTACTGCCCAGCCTGTGACTCATTTTTAAAAGATGCATTTATTTTTATTTTATGTGTGCTTTGCCTGAAAGTTATGTCTGTGGCTGTGGGGTCCAGAAGAGGGCATCAGATCCCTTGAACAGAAATTATGAGCCCCCATATAGCTAATGGAAACCAAACCCAGGTCCTCTGCAAAAGCAGTCAGTGCTCTTAATGGTTGAGCTACCTCTCCAGCTCTTTTAAGATTTTGGTTAAAGATACGGTATTACTACATAGCCTTAGCTGACTTTGGAACTTGGAATGTAGTCTAGATTAGCTTCTAACTCCCATTTCTCCAGGCTCAGCCTCCAAAGCACTGGGATTACAAATTCACACCACAATGTAATTCATTATTAAATCCATATTTACTGGTATTTTAACTCAAAGAACTATTTCACATGTGTACTGTAAAAGATTATTACAGGGTGATATATCCTAGAATCAATGAGGCAACTTGCCTCCTTCATCTGCGTTCTTCATCTGTACAAACCTAAAATGTGTACAAGATTAGGAATTGACCACAAATGGCTCAAACATTAGGATTCAAATACAAAACCGAGGAGGGGTGGAAGAAATACCTCAAAACCAACAAGAAAATTAAATGCTTGCTTACATGCATGCCCCCCTAGACATTCGGAGGCAAGGTATTATGTCATCGTCCTTTGAACCTAAGGCCCAACAGGTACTGGTGATTTTCCTGAAATTCATCTAATTTTAATTCTTATAACAGTGGATTAAAGAAAACAAGGCCCATTAGAATCCAGTAGCAATAAGGTTGACTCTCAGGTATTTCACTCTGTCAGACTTACCAAATATAAGATGCAACTGAAGTGTTCTGCATGTCCTGTCAAGCAATATCACTGTTTGGTCTGCAACAATTATAAAGCCATCACTTAAGCTGCATGCTTGTATCTTTGGATTCAGTGAGGCCTGGAGGAGGGAAAAGCATGACCAATCTTTCATATAAGATTCATGGTACTTAATAGTATTATCATAGGGCCAGGTGTAGTGGTACACACAATTTTTATTTTAAGATTCCAGTACTCAGTATGTTATACCCAGCATATTATACACCACGAGGAGAGAGATGACACAGGTTCAAAAGTCTTTAATATATCACCACATAAGCAAGTCACTGATTAATCAGGGCTGCAGGAAAAAGACTCAGAAGCCTTGATTCTCCTGGCAGCCCCAAGCAGGGGCAGAAGCAGGGCTTATAAGCACAAAACCACAAACAGGTTTTTTGGGCTTTTTTGTTTTGTTTTGTTTTTGGTTGTTTTTGAGATAGGGTTTCTCTGTACTGCTTTGGACCCTGTCCTGGAACCAGCTCTGTAGACCAGGCTGGCTTTGAACTCAGAGTTCTGCCTGACTCTGCCTCCCGAGCGCTGGAATTAAAGGCATGAGCCACCAATGCCCGGCGACCACAAACATTTCTTGCCAAGTTACAGTTTTGATTTTCATTAATCAGATTGTCAAAGATTTGGAACTTTCTTTGTGTCTTCCATCATGGTAAACAGACACAAAATATAAGACACAAAATTCAATCCAACCAATCAGACTCCTTTGTTCTTTCTGTAGTTAGGAACAGTCATAATGTCTTAGAGAACTAACAGGCGTAACAGACTGCTTCAGCATGGCAGTGGTGGTGCATGCCTTTAGTCCCAGCACTCAGGAGGCAGAGGCAGGTGGATCTCTGTGAGTTCAAAGCCAGTCTAGTCCAGAGAGAGTTCCAACACAGCCAGGACAACACAGAAACACTATCTTGAAAACAAAACAAAATAGCAGAATGCTTCTACTGTATAAGGAAGAGATAGGTCAGCTATTTGAAGATTCCCAACTCCTCTATGGCCTAGGAACTTGAACTGTGTTTCATCCTACAGGTAAAATAGAGTCTGAAGTCAAAATGGCAGTACTTAGGCCAAAGTGCTTTTGTTTGCTCCTTTCAAGTAGGCAGAGACAGTCAGATCTCTGTGAGTTGAAGGCCAGCTGGGTCTACATATCAAATTCCAGTATATGCAGGACTACATACAGACCCTGTCTCAGAAAACAATAACAACAAATAACAACAATAATAACAAACAAGTTGGGCAGTGGCAGTGAATGCCTTTAATCCCAGCACTTAGGAGGCAGAGGTAGGTGGATCTCTGTGAGTTTGAGACTAGCCTGGTCTACAGAGTGAGTTCCAGGACAGCCAGGACTGATTCAGAGAAATCCTGTCTTGAAAAAACAAACAAGCAAAAGTATTGTCATATATCTTTACTTTAAAACATAACCAGGCAAGACTTTTCTCTTTAGTCTGCCTAGTCAGTCATCAAGTACTTTTATATTGTAAGGCATATCTCAAATTTATACAGGATCCTAAGTAGGGATATAAACCAGGATGGACACAGAAGAGCAAAGGTACCTTGTTTAACCCCTTATCTCCCAAAAGCTAATATCAAGTTATAGGAACCAGGCATCAAGAAGAATACATGACTCAAGCCTGACTTAAAGTCTTAGTATTATGCCTAAACTAGGGATGGGAACCATTGTGAATTGTGAATTGAGAATATATACCTCCATGAAAAAGATCCATATAAGGCAGGGACATACTTATCACCGACATTGAAAGTCTAGTGAAAATAATTCTGCCTCAGTCTCACTGTATAACTTATCAAGAAAGATGGGTAAGAACAAGTGCTGGCTATTAAATATTGGCTAAATGGAATCTTCATTGTAGCCTGGGCTACAGTTAAGACCCTGCCTTTAAAAAAAAAAAAGAAAAGAAAAAGTTAAAATACAGAAAAATGCACAGAAAGAATAAATCAGAATAAACCCCACAAGAGTTCATTTAGCCTGTGACTATATTTGGCTTGGATTATGTAGTAAAGCACTTGAGAACCTAACCCCTTTACCTATATATGCTACACACACACACCCTCTGAACAATACACCTAACTACCTCCAAATGCCTTCAGACTGGCATCTACATCATACCAATCTCTGAACAGTAAAATAAATGTCTGTACCCTTAACAATTAAATTCAAATAGTTTCTAGTCAAATGTACTTCCAATGCAGTTAAGTACAAAGCACAGAAACACGGTCAGGCTTCAACTGGTTTTGAGTACATGTACAGTAAGGCAAAATTGTATCAAGAAGTTTTTAGGGAAAACTCCCTATTTACCTTATTGGAAAGGATATGCGTAGCACAAAAGCAATTATGACCTCATCTGTCAATCAAAATAGAGAACTGCCTATACTACACCTCTTAGCAATCAAATGCCTCCCCCTCTTGAGCCCCACAAAAGGAAGCCACAAACCAGAGAGGCCTTGGGTACCTTCCCTCCGGTGTCCTGCTGCTTCCTGCAGGGCATTCTAGTCTTTTCTATTGCTTTGCATAGTCTCTCCACTATTTCTGTGCCTGGATGAATGTAGAAACACCTGACTCCAACCACCAGTCCTAAGAGTGCTTATCTTGGTAGAGAATGGGGCAGACCCGGGTCAGGGAGGGAGCCCTAGTCTTCAACCCTATTGGGAATGTCTTATTTTCTAAGCAGAAGGCAGATGGACTCATGACAGGACTCAGGCTGGCCTCCCACCTGCCTCATCCTCCAGACACTGCAATTACAGACTTGATCCACCACATCCAATCCAGCTTGCATCCACCTTGCATGTGAGTTAGGAAGTGTTGGAAACACTAAGATGACTCATAGGCACTATGAGATCATTACCTTCTCAGAGGAGATCCTCCCAAGTAAGTCTACTTGATACAAAGCAGTCACATTTTCTTTTCTTGAACCACCATTGATGTGTCCACTTCCAGTGTCATCACTTGTTAGCAGCTCAACATTGTTCCACATGCTTCTGAGATTGTCTGTGAGAGGAAGGGACCACCGTCTTTCCTAGAACAACAAATAAAGTTACAGATCAAATTATTTTTGTGCATAGGATCCAGTTCTTTTGGTAATGAAGTGTTACTCAAAGAACAAAAACTAGTATCAATATATTAAAACTTAACTTCAAACTGGGCAAAGGCCATGAACGCCTTTAATCCCAGTACTTGGGATTAAAGGCAGAGGCAGGCAGATCTCTTTGAGTTTGAGGTTAGCCAGTCTACTGGCTGAGTTCCAGGACAGCCATGGTTACATAGTGAAACCCTGTTTCAAAACCAAACAAACTAAGGGGGGGGGGGTTCCAGTTTGTATACCACACTAGGGTGTAATGAAGGTTAGGTGCATGGCAGGCAAGTTCTCTATCATGGCTACACCCTCCTTCATGAGATGGTTCCTACCTTCATCAAAAACTACACTGAAACCCAGGCAAGACTTTTTTCATTAACAAACACAATTCATATCATCTGTAAACTGAGTGGGACCGAAGTAATAAGGTAGAAAACATCCCTAGATAACTTTGGATATCTAAGGGGAGGGGGGATGCTAAAGATGGTTTATGGGTTAAAAGTGCTTGCTGCTCTTCCATTGGACCAAAATTCGATGCCCAGGACTTACATCAAGCTCCAGGTGACCTGATGACCTCTTCTTGACCCCACAAGCACCTGCACACAAAGGAATAATAATAAAATCTGTATTTTTTAAGCCTATGAGCAGGGCGGTGGCAGCACACACCTTTGATCCCAGCAGTAGGGAGGCAGAGACAAACCTGATCTCTGTGAGTTTGAGGTCAGCCTTGTCTGCAGAGGGTTTCTAGGCCAGCCAGGGATACACAGAGAAACCCTGTCTTGAACAGACAGAGAACAATTATGAGTGAGACAGAAAAATGTTTTTGCTATTATGGTTTACCTTTTTTTTTTTTTTTTTTTTTTTTTTTTTTTTTTTTTTTTGGAGAGAGAATCTCCTGTAGACCACACTGGTCTCAAACTTGCTATGTAGACAAGGATGATATGATTTATGTGTTGCCAGGCAGTGGTGGCGCATTCCTTTTATCCCAGCACTTGTGAGACAGAAGCAGGAGGATCTCTATGAGTTCGAGACCAGCCTGGTCTACAAAGCGAGTTGCAGGGCAGCCTCCAAAAGCCACAGAGAAACCGTGTCTCGAAAAGTCAAATAAATACATAAATAAAACAGTTTTGTTTTACTTGTTTGGTAAAGGAGGTACTGAATCCTGGACGACGGGAAACCAACTACGTAAGGTCAAGGAAAACAGTGATTGCAGTCACTCGGAAGAGTGCAAAAGCTCAGAGACGGTAGGAGAGCGGTAAGGTCTTTAAAGACTGAATTTTCTACTTAGTGCAAGGAAGCGAACTAAGCGAACAGGTGATCAGCACAGACTTTTGGCATCATTGATTGCGAGAGAAAAACAGATGAGACAATATAACATCGTGAACGAGATAAAACAGTCAATGAAGCTACCCACGAACGCGCATCGGGCCAGCCAGCTAGAATCGCCTCCAACTTTCTCCCGCCAGCGTCAAGCTGACGAAAAGCCCCTTCCGTTTTCACCTGACACGACTCCCGCTTCCCAAAAGCAGCGCGGTAGAGCCTTCTCACCTGCAGCTGGAGAAACTAAAAGAGAACTCAAGTTTTTTACACTTCTTCCTGACTCACACAACCGCTCCTACTCTTTTTAGGTTCCACGCCACTGCTTTGAATTGGCGGGAGAACACCGCGCCCAACCCCTTCTACGGGGGCTGAAGCAGGCCAAAACTCTCTCACACTCGAACTAGGAAACCGCCCCGCCCTAGATCAAATTGAATCTCAACTAGGGAGGATTCATGTTATTGTGAATTCCTGGCCCCGCCCACTTCACAGGCCTTGCGCCACGCCCTTCGAAAGACTAGCCAATCACCATGTCGAACCGCGTTGTTATAGAAACTCTTATCGCCACCCCTTTTCTTTCCCAGCAAGCTGCGCGCCGCGCCAGGCCTCATCCCTTTTGTGCCATCCGGGTCTCTCGCGCCAGAGAAAGTCTGTGGCGAAGCTTCGGGGTGGCCAGTACTGTTGAGCGCGTCAAGCAGTGGTGCCGCGTTAGCGGCCGGGACTCAAAAACAATGGCGGTAGGTACTAACTCGAATTTGAAAGCCAGGGCTGGTTTTTTTTTTGTCTCTTTACACAGAGTGAACAGCTCTCGGAGCTGTTGTCCGTGCTTGTGTGTGGACAAAATGGCGCCGCGGCCGCTTTCTGCACTCGCCATCATGGCTTCCTGCCGCAGGGAGGGGGAGGTAAGGCGGTGTGGATGGGGGTGGGGAGCCGCAGGGAATGGCTTTTTTTTTCCAGAACTTTCCTCATCGTTTTCCTCACCCCGTATTTTAAGAAGCCCACCGAACTGTGGTACTCATCTCGTTAACCCAGACTAGTGGTATGTGTTGCGTTTCGGTAGGGCTTCTGAGTTTACGCTAACACTGGAGAAATGCGACTGGAAAGAAAAAAAAAATCAGAAACCGTCTCTGGCAGACTGTTTATGAGGAAACAGTCTAAGCCTTTTGGGCGAACCCTTAGATATGGGGTACTTTGCCTATTTTTTTTTTTTTTTTGCTTAGTGTTTGTCGGTGTGAACCTTCTCGGTTGGAGTTGAGATTGTCTTAAAGAGTAAAAATTGTTGTAATTATCCAGTTCCATTCCCTGGTATACTTGTGCCTCAGAGCGACTCGTTTTACCATTTTAAGTCTTTGAGAACCGCCGGGCTTGTTCCTTTAAGACCCCTTTCTTGACCCGTATAAAAACCGTACCTAAGTGACCTCTTTGAACAGGAAGCCTGCCCTGGATATACTATGCCCGTTTTTAGTGAATCATATTATCCTGTGACTGTTTTGTTTCTACTTATATAGAGAAAATATTTTTGTGACTAAAAGGTTTTAACTTCATATTGTAGACAAGAATTGCTCTCCCTGACAGTTGTAATTTTGAAATTAGAATGGTACAAGTAGGTTTTTTTCTGCATCTCATTATCCTTTATGTCTAGTTGAATTTAAAATATTTTTTCATGAGGCTTCAAAGAGTAGATAAGGTGCTTTAAATTACGGGACTAATACTTATAAATTGTGTCATGGGCCTCTTAATATACGTCAAGCAAATAGTAGTATTGTTTTTCTTGTGTTCCATTAAGTGAAATAAATTCAGATATTTGATTTCTGCGGTGCCCTCCACAATAAAGGCAATCCCCCAGAGAACTGGCCCAGTATTAAGCCTGCTATTTACTTCCTTTGCCCTGGGAAAGGAATTGTATGCTGTGCTTCAGTTATCTAGGGTTTTCAAGATGTAAATTGTAGAAAGCTGGTGGCTTTCTCATAGACCCAGTGACTAAATATAAGGCAGTTTGCGGTGTTTTTATGGATTTCAGCTAAATTGAAGTAAAGCTGAGTGATTTTGCTAATTGGGGCACCTAGTATTACATGTGTTTAATGGTGACATGGATTTTATTCTGTAGTGTGTTTTACATATGAAAGTGACGGCTAATAACCTGTGTCACACAGTGGTTCCTCTGTTGCCAGGCTTCTGAGCCTTTTGCAACATAAACATTAGTGGACTAGGTGTTGTCTTTTTCTATAGTTTTCAGTTCTCGTCTTCTCAGGAAAAGTGAATGTGTCTTACTATGATCCTAACAATGGGGGAGAGGGGTGCTGTAGCAGGATATTAAAAAGTTTGAGGGCAGCCGTGAACATAGCAGGCATCTGGGGGGCTGCTTGTGATTTGTGTTTGAAGTGTTTTTAGTTGAGATAAATATATCTTAGGCCAATCTGAAATTGTCTTTAAGGATAGTGAGAACAAGAATGAAAGAAAATGTTTTGGATCATTGTTGTTTGTGATAGAGCAACATGTATTACTAGTTGATAGCAAAAGATGGGGAGATTACAGTATTTTAGGGGAGTCAGGTAGTGTTTCTGGGTATCAGCTGTGAAGTAAGGTTGACCTTGATTCTGAATGATGAATGCTTTTCAGCACAAAATTATTCCAATCCTGGAATGAGAAACACCCTTGTAGCTAGTTGCTTATGTTTCTTACTATTCCTGTTGAGATACAGTTGGTACTTTAGCACATAATTCATGCATTTTGCCTCCAATTATGTGTGCTTAACTACTGAGCCATCTTTCCAATCCCAAATCTGTTTTCATGTGTAGTTTTACTATTGAAGTTTGGTATTGTTTTTGACCCATTTTTGTACCACAGTAAAATAATACACTTCCTTTATTTTGGTACTTGTTCTCCCAAGGGAAAAAGTCGATCATGATTTTCCCTCTGAAGTTCTAAGTCAGAAATTGATAAAAACACTTGGTAAAAAGAAGCATCTGGGTCGCCGGGCATTGGTGGCACACTCCTTTAATCCCAGCACATTATGAGTTCGAGGCCAGCCTGGTCTCCAGAGTGAGTGCCAGGATAGGCTCCAAAGCTACTGTCTCAAAAAACCCAAAAAAAAAAAAAAAAGCAGCAGCAGCTGGTAAATACTTTTAGTTTTGTGGGTGATGTTCACTTTTTCTCATTTCTTGCTTGCTTTACCAAGGTTTTTTAATGTAAAAAATTACTCTTCTAGGCTCAGTAACACAGGTCTTTAATCCCAGCAGTATCAGGTAGATACCTGGGTTTGAGGCCAGTCAGGGCTACATAGAGATACCTTGTCTAAAAAAAGAAAGGAAGGAAGGAAAGAAACAAGATTTGTGCAGAAAAGTAATGTAGCTCCTATCCTGAGTGATCTGTTCGCTGGGTGAACAGTTTTATTTTCCTATTACCTTCTCCAGTCAGTTACCTACCATTCCACTACATATGGTTCAGATCTGTTTGTTTCCAATGCCTCTTACCAGAATTAAATCGTTTTTGTTGTTGTTGTTGTTGTTCATGGGGGTGGGTGGGTGTTGTCCTTGCCTCTGGCTGCCCCGGCCCCCCAAGGTTTCTCTATAGCCCTGGCTGTCCTGTCCTGGAACTCTTCACCAGGCTGGCTTTGAACTCAGAGATCTGCCTTACTCTGCCGCCTGATTGCCGGGATTAAAGGCGTGTGCCAACGCCACCAGGCAGTACTTTTTTTTTTTTTTTTTAATATGTTCTAGCATTTCATACATGAGTACAGTTATACATCATCTCCACCCTTCAGTATTAGTTCTGTGGTAAAACAAGGTTGGAGGTGATTGTGGAATTTTTTTTTTTCCAGCTCTAGTGATTTTTAAGATGGAGCTTCACATGTGAAGCAAGCGCTTCTACCACTGACCTATATCTTCAACCAGAAATAGCGTTAGTGAGAGGGATACAGCTGAAGTTTACATCTCAAACATTTATTCATGGATTTCTGTACTGGTTTCTGTTACAAGTACAGAAGATAGATAGCCTTCTGTAACTAGAAAATGACAAGAAATTGAACCTCAGGTACTCAGGTCTCTGAAAATGTGTGCCTTTATGCTTTTGTTTTATTTTGCTGGGATTTAGTTCAGTGATAGAGAATTGGTCTAACAAGCATGAAAAACCCTGGGTTTAATCCTTAGCACTTCAAAATAAAATTTATATTGTAATATTGCCTATAAAATGCTTTAACGTGGAAACGGCTTGATGTTTCCATAGCCCAGAGCATAAATACGGAGAGGCAGAACATGTTTTGCTGTACCTCTGTGCCAAGGGGATATTTTCATTAAAGAAGGTTAATTAGGTTCTCAGGTAAGGTAATTTTCTGCTTATTCTTTTATAATCTAAAAATACTCCCTATGCTGCTTTAATATCTTATAGTTTTAAGTACCTTTAAACCTTTTAACAGCTCATTCTAGATAGCTTTTTAATAATAATGAACAGCTATTTGATTACTGGCAAATCAGCAAATTTAATTCACACATGTAAAGTTTTATAGTTTCTTTAAATATTTATTGGAAATACCAAAAGCCAAGTCTTTTTACATCTGTTACTTTACTGCACATACATCCACTTGGAAACCAGCCATATTTGGGTTTTGGTTTTCTTTTCTGGTAAAACTCAACTATCTTCATTCCTTGCCCTTTTGAAAATCAAGAGACATTGGGAATGCAAATACAAACTTGGATTTTTCTATTTTTTACTTTTAGGCTACTGATACAGAACGAGATGGACTAGCCCCAGAAAAGACATCCCCGGATAGAGAAAAGAAAAAAGAACAGTCAGATGTATCTATTTCTCCTAGAACCTCAAAACATCACTATTCAAGGTCACGGTCACGAGAAAGAAAACGAAAATCAGGTAAAGGATTAAATGTGCTATATTCTGAAAATAATTAACGTACTTTTTAACTATGTGTTGTAGGGTTTGTTTTTTTTTTTTATCCTTCTAGCACTAAGGCTAGAATAGAAGCCCAGTACTCTGCCAAGTAGTCCCTACCATTTTATTATATCCCAAGCCCTGAAGTGCCACAAGGACAGCATGAACTACAATAGAAATTCCAGGCCAGCCTATGCTAAATAGTGAGACAGTCTCAAAAATCAAAGGAAAGTGACTAGCATTGAAAGCATAACATTTTACTATTTGAAGAAAGCAGGGCTGGGGTGATTTTAGTGGTAGAGTGCCTAACAATTATATAAGAACCTAATATTGCAAAGTAAATAAATAGAGAAACAGAAGAACAATTAGTTTACAAGTTGTAAATGGAGCTTAGTCATGTGCTATTTGTGTGTGTAGCTAATTCTCAAGTTTTTATAGTATGTTTTATAGTATCGGTTTGGTGTTGTGATTAAACATTTGAATTAAACATTTTCAAGCTTGATGTGACATTGCAGGATAATCAAAAATTAGAATGCATTCTGGGGTACATAAAATCCCATCTTTTAAAAAAAATAAGAAAGAAAATTTTTAGTTAACTTCCTTTTGACTGTAAATAATGTCAAATGTAACCCAGGCTAACCCTCCTGAGTACTGAGATTCTGTGTGCTCAACCCAAATCTGTTTCTTTTTAAAAATTTTTTGTTTTGGGAAGTTTTATTTGTGTGGGTTTGTTGTTCTTTGTTTTGTTTTTTTGAGACAGGGTTTCTCTGTATAGCAGCCCTAGCTGTCCTGAAACTAGCTCTGTATGTAGACCAGGCTGGCCTCAGATCTGCCTGCCTCTGTCTCCCTAGTGCTGGGATTAAAGCATCCACCACCAACTCCCAGGTGTTTGAGGAGTTTTTATGTTCGAACATGTATGTGTTGTGTGTTGTATGAGAGAGCAGGTATGTGAAAGCCAGGAGTTGACATCCAGGAGAAGGCTTAGTGTGATAAGGGCACATATATGTAACCCTGACAATCAAGGACCAACCCTCAGAATGCCCCATAAAGGTAAAGGAGGGGGCTGACTCCTGGTCTGCATAGGAGTTCTAGTCCCTGGCCAGCCAGCATAACAAAGTCAACCTATTTCAAGATTTATTTTTTTTAAAGGGTGACTAAAAGAAAATTGACTCTTTGGAAGGCACTGTAATTAGCCCTGACTAGAAATTTAGGACGTGGTTGATTTGCTCTTTTTTGCCTCCTGTTTTAATTCAAACCTGGACTTTGTTATTTATGAAAGTTCTATACTACTGACTTTTTTATTGTTACAGCATTGTAATTTGTGTTTAAGATATTTGTGTATCTTAATGTATTTTTGTTTTTTTGTGTTTACAGATAATGAAGGAAGAAAACATAGGAGCCGGAGCAGAAGCAAAGAGGTAATTAACACTTTGTAGTGAATAGGTACTTTAAAATTCTTGTAAAGTGTCTGGTAGAAATGTTTGTGTGACTATTTGACATTGTCAAGGTAAGTGCCAAAACTTGAAATTTAAAAGGTTAATTGGGTTTTAAAATGAGCATGATTTCGATTCATCATTTTTCAAGAAGATAGTTGTTTATATAAAAAGTGCCTCAAAAGCTATTAACTTTTATTATATTGTGAAAAAATATTCACAATAAGAATATCATATGAAGAATAAGCTGGATTTTTAGGCCTGTGATACAGAGCTTCCATTAATCTGAGGTCCCAGGTCTCCTTATCCTTGACAACTGCTCAAGATTTTTAAGTATCAGTCATCTATCACTACCCTATTTGTGGGCTGCTTTTCTTCATTGAAAGTACTGAGTTTTCTTTCCTTCTTTAGTGAAGCTAGTCAATGAGCCTTATACTATTGGAATAATGCGAGGGACAGTTGGAGAGGTGACATTTACAGTAGAGCCTTAGGAAAAGCAAAAGCAGCAGCTGTACTGAATAGGAGTTAATAACTTGCCTCACCCACCTAAGAAGATGAGGACTGAGCTCTACCCAGGAAGAGAATTAGCAGCGAGAAAGGGAAAAGAGCTTCAGGGGGCTGGGCAAGGGACTCCGAAAACAAATATGGGCAGGGACTTCACCTCTTCCCCTAATGGAAGCTCTGTTAAATTTTTAATTTAGGAGAGTTTTTGTGAAAATGACTTATTTTGTTTAGCTCACATGATAACATTTCTATAATAAATCATACTCAGCGTGCTAATGCGCGAAGAGACTGAACTGAAGACGCTGCAGACTCAGATAGCAAAATAATAAGCCTACTTCATGATAAGGTAACTATTAGTCATTCAAACTCCTATTTCCCTTAAATATATCTTAAATCAGTTAAGGGTTTTAATGTTTTATAAAATTAATAGTAATGTTTTGTTTTATTTAAACTCTTAAATTTAAGTTTCTGGAATATAACTATTTAAAGCTTTTCTAGTCTACTACTATTTGGCAAAGTTCTAAGGTCATATTATAGAGAACTGGTCATGAAACTAAGGTTTAGCTTGTGTCTCCAGGTCTCTTATCTTTCTGCAAAATAAAAAATCACTATGATCATTTTCAGATGTATCATTGTGCATGTTCCATAATGATTGACTTGTCTCCCCCTTTTTTTTTTTTTTTTTTTTTTTTTTCTTTTCTTTCTTTCTTTGTATTTAAAAGTTAACCTCTAGTCCAAAGAAATAGGCTATGGCCATTGTGGGAACTATCCATGTTGTGTTACAGTGGAGAAGTGGTGCCTGAGCAGCAAAGGATGGGTCCGAGCCCAGTTGAATTACTGTGTGGCTTTGTGTTTTCACCTCTGATTCTATGAAATATGGAACAGTTTAGAGGACCTGAATTTCTCTTATATTTAAGTTTAACTGCCCTGAGTTGTTTGGGATTTAAATCCAAGGTTGCTTTCACAAGTTTAGGTTGGGAAATACATAATACTTGCAAATTCTACATTTGAGTGATAGGGTTGTGATTTGATATACACATGAGTTCAAAGTATCTATATTATGATGGCATAGGAATTGTTACCCTGCTTTACTTTTTTTGACTCTCAATTAAAAATGGTAGTTGCTATTTTCTACCCTAGGTTTATACAATGTAATTGAGCTTTAAACCTGTTGGGATTGATGAAAACTGATAAGTGATTGCTCTATGGTTTATAGACATTGAAATATAGGGTCTTTTGGAGAGAATGTGGCAAGAAGTGTGGTTAGTTAAAGGGGGACATTGCTACTCTGCATAATGAAACAGCAGAAAGTATGAACTTTTTGATACAGTAGTTGCTGCTTCATTTGAAGTGCATTTTGTGAAGCGTTGTTTTCTGTTTTTACCTACTTTCCTTTTTTTAAAGTTTTTCTTTTTGTTATTACTGGGGATTGAACCTAGGAGTTTATGCATGCTCGTGAAATGCTCTGCTACTGAGCTATATCCCTCAGTTCCAGTATTTTTTTATTTGTTTGTTTTGTGGTTTGGGAGAGTTGTCATTGTTTCTTTTGAGGTGGGGGATTCGCTGTAGCCTGGCTGTGTGGAACCAGGCTGGCTTCGAACTCAGATATTCCCCTGCCTCTGTGTCCCTAGTGCTGGGATTAAAGGTGTGTGCCACTACACCTGGCCCTATTTTTTTTAAGCTTAATTGTGTATCCATTGGATTTAGAATGGGTTTTGTTAATTTTTTTTCAGATTTATTTTAATTAGAAACAGGATTGTTTTTACATGACAATCCCAGTTCCCTTCTACCTCCTGTCCTCCCCTACCACCACCACCCCCAACTAAAACCCTACCTATCACATATCCTTTCTGCTCCCCCTGGATGGTGAGGCCTTCCATAGGGTGTCATCAGAGTCTATCATAACCTTTGGGATAGGGCCCAGGCCCACCCAGTTTTGTTAATTTTTTTTTTTTTTAAGAAAACTGAGAATTCCACTTGAACTGTGGCATTTTTATTTATTGATTTGTTTGTTTTGGTTTTTCGAGACAGGGTTTCTCTGTATTGTTTTGGGGATTGTCCTGGAACTTGATCTATAGACCAGGCTGGCCTTGAACTCACAGAGATCCGCCTGCCTCTGCCTCCCCAGTGTTGGGATTAAAGGTGTGTGCCACCAATGCCTGGAAAACTATGGCTTTTTCAATATCTATTTTATGTCATTGTTTTTAAAATACTTAGGGAACAACCTGCAATTTTGTGTCTTAGTTAGAAAACTATAATTACATATGCAACATTTAGGTGATAAGAAACTAGATGATTTTGTTTGCCACACATTCCTAAGGTTACTAATGTTGCATCACAACATTTTTGTTTTCTGATACCCATACTAACTCTTTTTGTTGCACTATTTTCCTGAAAGAACCAACTTCTTGTTAAAACAGGCAAGAAGACATGAATCCAAAGATAAGTCCTCTAAGAGACATAAGTCTGAGGAGCACAATGACAAAGAACATTCTTCTGAGAGAGGAAGAGAGCGATTAAATTCATCTGAAAATGGTGAGGACAGACACAAACGCAAAGAAAGGAAGTCATCACGAGGCAGAAGTCACTCAAGATCTAGGTCTCGTGAAAGGTAACTAGTTTTGGTGTTGTAGTCTGGTGTCTTCCAGTATCTTTAACCTGTAGGTTATTTCTAGCCCAGCAATACACACACATAATCTTTTTTTGTGTGTTTGGTTTGGTTTGTTTTGTTTTTTCAAGGCAGGGTTTCTTTGTGTCTTTGGAGACTGTCCTGGAACTACCTCCTGTAGACCAGGCTGGTCTCACACGCTAGAGATCCTCCTGCCTCTGCCTCCCAAATGCTGGGATTAAAGGTGTGTGCCACCACTCCCGGGCTCACACGCATAATCTTTTTTTTTTTTTTTTTTAAGATTTTATTTATTATGTATATAGTCTTCTGCCTGCATGCCAGCAGAGTGCACCAGATCTCATTCGAGGTGGTTGAGCGCCACCATGTGGTTGCTGGGAATTGAACTCGGGACCTCTGGAAGAGCAGCCAGTGCTCTTAACCTCTGAGCCATCTCTCCGGCCCCCTTAATGTAGTTCGTTACCAGCTGATAGCTAAAGGCTTTTAGAATCTTAAGATACATCTCAGTAACATAAAATAACATTGTACAATAAAACAGCTTTTGGAAAATGAAGTTGTGATTCAAATATGTAGGTTGTTTTAATGTATGTGGGCATTTTGCCTGTGTGTGTGTGTGTGTGTGTGTGAGAGAGAGAGAGTGTGAGAGTGACTGGTACCTATGAAGTCTGGAGGATCATTGATTTCCCTGGAACTGGAGTTATGCACGGTGAGTTTTAGGAATCCTTGAAAGAGAACTGATATCCAGTATGGGGGTTTGTTAGTTAATTTTCTCTTCTGTTGTTTTTAAAATCCGTTTGACAAACTTTTGTTTTAAAATGTGGTTTTTATCTCTGAGTTGAAGGACAGTCTACAAAGCGATTTCCAGGACCTACTTCAAAGCTACACAGAGAAAAACCAAAACCTCCCCCCAAAAAAAGTTTAGGCTTGCTTTCACCCGTCTTGTTCTGTTGTGTTTCTGATAACAGAAGCATCTGGATCGGTGACAGCCAGTGCATATGCTCTTGTAGTAGTTTTCATATGCCCAGTTCAATATTTTTATTGTTGTCGTGATGAATGCTAATTTCAGCTGACATGGTTTAAAATTTTATTTTACATTAAGCCAAAGATGGGAAGTTGGTAAAAGGACCATTTGCACTCTAGAGTCAAAGTCTATTTGTTACCTCAACACCAAATTTGTACTTCTTATAACAAATTGACATTAAAATGAATCCAACTACAGAGATCTTTTTTCCCCGATAATTCATTTCTTGGTCCTTGAAGCCATGGTGCAGGATAGAGCACCCAAGATGGCTGGGTGTGAAGAAACCTTTTTCCTTATCCTGTAAACACTTAAGGTTTTGGGGGTTTTGTTGGGTGTGGGTTTGTTTGTTTGGTTTGGTTTGGTTTGGTTTGCTGTCTTGATTAATTTTTTGTTAGCCACTTTATTAAAAACGTAAATGGAAGAAAACAGCTTGTTGAGTGTTTGCCTACAGTCTCAGCATTCAGGAATTAAGAAGTAAAGGTCTTCCTGGGATATATAGTAAGACTCTTCCCTTAAACAGGAAGATAACTATGAGCAATTAAATATTTATGCACTTGAATTTTAGGCGCCATCGAAGTAGAAGCAGGGAACGGAAGAAGTCTCGTTCCAGGAGTCGGGATCGAAAAAAGTCTCGATCCAGAAGCAGAGACAGGAAGAAGTCAAGATCTAGAAGCCGCGATAGAAAACGAAGGATTAGAACACGTTCCCGATCAAGATCCAGACACAGGCATAGAACTAGAAGCAGGAGCAGATCAAGGAGTCGAAGTCGGTAAGTGTTCATTCTCCTGAATAAAGTAGCATGCTCTTCACTATCCACCTTTTTTTTTTTTTCAGTTGTGCAACACACTGATTGATCTAAAGTATTTTAAATCATTACCTCATCAATACAAACAAACATAGAACCTATCAGTGGGTGTGTGTTAGTATGCTTTATCCATGAGTTCTGTGCCCTGCACCACAGAAACTCCTTTATACATTCTTGGACATTTAGTATGTGATTTGGAGGTGTTAGTAACATAAATTTATTATGTTCTATATGGTTTGGTTTGGGGTTTTTTGAGACAAGGTTTTTCTCTGTAACCCTGAAAGGCATTCATCATCATGTCCAGCAATTATTGGTTGGATTGTTTTTTATCAGAAGAGCTAATTTAATACTGTATATTATCATATCATTTGAATTTCATTTTGTTTTCCTAATTTACCTGTTTGATGTTTGTTCTGTCTTTATGCATGGTACCTGCAGTCAAAAGAGGGCCATCAAATCTGTTGTAACGAGTTACAGGTGGTTTTGGACCAGATCCAGGTCCTTTGTAAGAGCAGCAAGTGTTCTTATCTACTGAGTCATCTCTAGCTTGTGTGTGTCTGTGTCCGTCTTGTATGTTGTGCACCTGTAGAGGGGAATGTCAGCTGTCTTCCTCTATTGTTTACATTCTTTTTTGAGGCAGACTCAGCTAGAGTGTCCTACAAGCTCCTGGGATCTTTCCTATCCCCGTAGTCCCAAATACTAGAGTTGATGGTCATGCCCAACATTTTGGTTTTTCGAGACTGGGTTTCTCTGTAGCATTGGAGATTGTCCTGGAACTAGCTCTTGTAGACCAGGCTGATCTCAAATTCACAGAGATCCGCCTGTCTCTGCCTCCTCTGAGTGCTGGGATTAAAGGTGTGCACCAACACTGCCCAGCTAACTTTTTTCATGGGTTGATAGGGGATTGAATTCAGGTCCTCTTGCTTTCAGAGCAAGTACTATTTACCACTGAGCCAGGTTCCTTACTTATTGTTTATCATTATCATTTACTCTTGTTTAGTGGCATTGTTTACATTCCTTTGTTTTGTTGGTTTTGGTTTTTCTTGGTGCCAGTTGGAGTCTCATTGTAGCCCATGGCTGGCTGCCTCCCCATGGTTTCTGGAATTAAAATTTTGTTAATTGTTTTGGGTTTTTTGTTTTTTCTCATTTTTTGGAAAGAGGGTCTCCTTTCTATGTAGTCCTTCACCCTGGCTGTCCTGGAGCTCTCTTGTTTTGGTCGTTTGGGGGTGGCTTGTTTTGTTTTTGGTTGTTTGTGTAGTTTGGGAATTTTATTTTAGCTACACTTCTCTCTTCCCTATCCTCTCTCTAAACCCTCCGGTACACCCTTTCCCTCGCCTTCAAATTCATTGTTTCTTCATCAGTTGTTGCTATGTGCATAATATATGTATTTCTATGTACATATATATTCCTAAATATAGTCTGTTGTAACTCATTTTTAATTGCTTTTCAAGCAGTTGGTTTACTTTGACGTTTCTTATAGATAGGTTCAGGTCAGTGACCCTCCCTTATTTTTTAAGACTTGTTTTGTGTATGTATGTGTGTGTGTTTCCCTTGTATACAGATAACAGTGGATTTGGGGCATCTCTTCAAACACCATGATTGTCTATTTTTGAGAGGCAAGAAGGAAGTCCAGTTCAGCATGGCTCAAACTTTGAGAGTCCAGGCACCCAGTAGTTTATTTTAGGCATGTTTAAGCATAGCACAATTTGAAAAACAGTTTCCTGGTGATAATTAACTCAATCGGTATACACAGCAATGCTTATGTTGAAACACTTGTACAAGTAACATCTTCTATAAAGATAGGTTCTGTAGATTAAGGAACCAGATTCAAGGTAAAAAATGAGGGGTATGAATGATAGATAGTACTTTGCTTGACTGAGATCAATAGGCTCAAGGTAAGGGTCTGGGGAAGCTGGTGTTGCCTGGCCATACAGATGGCCCTGAAGTCACCAGGCTATTCCCATCCTTCTGGGCAGAAAACAGGTGGAGGCAGAAGAGGGATTAGATCTAGGGTTACATTACAGGCAGTTGTGAGTGACTCAACATGCATACTGGGAACTGAACTTCAGTCCTCCTTAAAAAAAAAAAAACAAAAAAAAAAAAAAAAAACGGGTATTCTTTTAACAGTAAGTACACTAAGCCATCTCCATCCAGCCCCATTAGGTGAATTTTTGGGTACATTAATAATTCCACTTAAAATGGTAGGAATATTTGGATCCTCATTGAATGTATACTAGCATACAGGATGTATGAAGCAAATCTTTGCACCACTGGGTAATTCATGCAGAAAGTTGGAAATAAGCCAGTGTGATTGCAGCTATAACATGGATGTTAACTGGCCATATGTATAAAAAATTTAGAATTACTATCGAAGATGTATTGATTGATAAGGCTGAAGAGGTGGCTCCATGATTCTTCAATTCCCAACACTCATGGCTGCTCACATTCATCTGGAACACCCATTCTAAGAGACCTAATGTCTTCTTCTGGCCTTTGTGCCAGATGTGTAAATAGTATGCATTTAAGCAGATTGTATTTAAAGCCTTTGTACTTGTTTTAATGTATCATTTAATGATTTTTGTTGAGCTATGTAAAGAAAATTAGTTTTTATTAAAGATGATTATTGGGTGTCATAATGAAACACGGAATACTGGTTATTTCAGAGATAGAAAGAAGAGAATTGAAAAACCAAGAAGATTTAGCAGAAGCCTAAGCCGGACACCAAGTCCACCTCCCTTCAGAGGAAGAAACACAGCAATGGACGCCCAGGAAGCTTTAGCTAGGAGGTATGAGTATTTTCCCACTTAAGTCACATGTTTTTTGTTTTTTGTTTTTTTCCTTTTAAAGTAGCTGTCAGTTGTGTAGGCAAATGAATGCTCTTACCTCAGGATAATCCTTACCCCACCTCCCAAAATGTCTAACCATGAATGCTGTTGCACATTTGTGATACAGAGCTATCTAAGTAGGTTTTTAGTTGGGGATTTTCTTGTGGTTTGTTTTTAATATCACATGCAGGAAGATTGAGAAGTTTTTGGTTTTGTGCTTAACTGATATTTTTACCATAACTATCTCCATGAAAGAAACATAGATTCAAATGTCTTTTGTTTGCATTTGGAGAGTTCAAGTTTTAAATCCTTGTGAGGAACCTCTTAAATTGTCTTTTCCTTGACTTTTTTTTTTCTTTAAAGAAAACAAAACACCTGAACACTGAGAATTCTGTCACTAGCTTATTGTTTTAGTAGATAAACATCATAATCCAAATTTATTATCTTGAAGTGTAGAGAGAATGTTGCATTTCTGAAGTTTCTGTTTGAATGTTGGGCGGTTGTGTGGCCACATTAGAGCAGGTCTGTGACAGAAATATGCAGGAGCCAAAGAAAAGAGCTGCCTCGGGAGGCCACAACCAAGCACTTGTTTGCAATTTTTTGCATATTCTGAAAATTACATTTTTTGGAATTGGGTTTTTTTTTCCTTAAAAAATTGAGTTTGTATTTTTTTTCATTATAAAAATACAGTTATCACAGTGTTACCTGATGTGCTGCTGCCCTGTGAAGCCAGCCTGGCAGAAACTCCACTGAACAGCAGCAGCAAAGGTGTGAGCTCACCCCTTCTTCATCCATTCACCTTAGTGAATGGAGTTGGTTCTGACCTGCAATGGCCCTACAAGTGCAACCGATAGACCAATAGTTGTCTTGTTTCAAGCAACAGAATTAAAAACTCTTAATATCTAATGATTTATTAGCTTTATAGTATTTTAAGTATTGAAGTTCATTCTTTATTATACTGACATCTATTATATTTTCTCTTTAATTGTTACTAAGGTAAAGTTATATGGGGAAATGTTGGTGCATACTTGTAATCCTTGCATTGATACTAAGGTTGTTACTACCATCAAGCTGTTTGGGTTAGATTATTGGTGACAGGAAACCCTCTAAACGAAACATTTGAAGTGTATTGGTCTATGCCTTCAATCCTAGTACTCAGGGGAGCAGAGGCAGGCAGATCACTGAGTTTGAGGACACTCTGGGCTACATGGACAGTTCTAGGACAGACTACATAAAGAGTCCCTGACTCAAAAAAAGAAAGAAAGAAAGAAAAAAGAAACTTGTAAGCATGTGTCAGAATTTAAAGCAGTTTTGGAAATAAATTGTTTGTCACCTATTTTGCCAACTAACGTAATCAGAGGTTATAAAACATCTTTTTTGTATATTTAAGTCCTTGTTGTAACAAGTATCTGCTGAGGATGTACCTCACTTGGTATAGTCCTCACCCTGTATGCACAAGTTCTGAGTTCCTCAGCCCTGCCAAAAATCATCTGTGGCACATATCTAATCCTAGCATTTGGATAGTAGAAGCAAGAATTATCATAGGTTTAAGGTCTTTCTCTACTTTAGTTTGAGGCCATGCAGGACTACATGAGACACTCTGTGGAAAGGAAAAAACCACAAGAACCTCTTTGCTGTTGCTATAATACAATATATGTGTGTCTCAAAACCAAAAAAAATAACCTTTTTCTCAATCCTGGATGATTTGGACCAAATAAATAAGATGTGACATTTATGGGTTTCTCTTTCAAGAACTGAGTTATACTACTTGCGATCTGCTATGTAGAAAATGAATTTGACACTAAAACATGGTAATTAGTGTAAAGTATATATAATTCATTAATTTATTTTTTTGTGTTGAAATTTTTATTTTATGTTATGCCAGTTCCCAGATTTTATGATTTAGTTTCTCCTCTCTCTTTGGTAAATTGTGGGATTTGTTTGTTTGCTTTGTTTAAGTAGACTAAAGGGTTTTTGCATATTATCTAAACTGAAGATTATAGTGATCCTTTTTGAATATAAAAGAGACTATTCTTTATTCTTAATCCAGGTTTGTTCTTCCCTGTGCAGTATATTATAGATGTACTATTTTACCAATTAAGCATGCACTATAACTTACCTAGCACCAATATGTGGTTTATTTATAGGCTTTAATTTTATCTTTGCTTTCATAGACAACACTGACTGAAATTGGAGACCTTTGGGGGAGGTGGTCTTTTGTTAGTTTGTTTTTTTTAAGACAGGGTAACCTGGTTTTGCCAGAACTATGTAGCCCAGACTGCCTTTGAATTCATTGAGATCTTATGTCTCCCAACTGCTGGGACTAAAAGACATTTTCACCCCACAACTTGGGCTGTTTTCATTTTTGTAGACAGGTTTTCACTAAGTGATAACACTTTAGCCTTCTGAGTGCTCTTTGTGTTGCCATGGCTGGCTAGAGATTTTTATATTTGGAAGTGGGGGGTGCTTGTAAAATTTTGCTTTGACCAATTCAGAAATTATTTAAGAGTAGTCATGGTGGTACACACATGTAATGAGTTGTTAGCCTAGTAGGGACAGGGGAGTCAGGAATTCAAGACTAGCCAAAGCTACTTGAGATCCTGTCTCTTAAAAAATTAGATATACAGAAATTTCAAAACATGGCATATTCACTTGGGTGAATATAGCAAAGTTTGCATGCATCCCTGGTTGGTAGCCTGCTATAGCCCTGCAGTTCAAGGCCAGCACAGACAACATAAGCCACAGCATTTATTCTAAAAAGAATAGAATTGTTTAGGGAATTATATTGACATACTCATTAACTGACCTGGTGCCTAATCTTGATAGGAGGAATATGATAATTCATTAAAGTTTTGTGTATAAAATGTTTGTATATATGCATGATACATACTGATTTTACATCAAATTGTTTTGAATTGTCTTTGATAGATTGGAAAGGGCAAAGAAATTACAAGAACAACGAGAAAAGGAAATGGTTGAAAAACAAAAACAACAAGAAATGGCTGCAGGTAACTTACTATGAATTGTGTGATTCTTAAAAAAAAAAAACTTGAAAAATACAGAAAATTTAATAGGGGGGGGGGTTCAGGGCCAACCTGGTCTGAATAGTAAGGCCCTGTTCTCAGCAATACCAAATCTTTGGGATCTTTTCTTAGTTCAGGCATCTCACCTCTACTGGGCCACCTTGTCTATCCCACTCTTTGGATTTTTGAGTCAGTCTTCCTTTACCTCAACCAGACCTCCAATGTGTTATCTTCTGATAACGACCTTCTAGGTACTAAATATTACTGGTGTATGCCACCACACCCAGCTATATCAGTTGGAGGGTTGTTTTTTCTTTATTATGAGCAGTTAAATTTTTTATTTTGTATGTGTGCGTGTGCATGCATGCCCATGTGTAAGTAAGTACTTGCCCTAGTGACATGTATATGTCACAGGACAATCCTCCTCCTCTCAGTTCTATGGTGGTCAGGTTTTTCTTTTTTGCCAACCAAGCTATCTCACTTGAATTGTGAGCAAATAATTTTTTGATGAGTGAATATTGGTTATTCTTGGTAATAAGTTTCCATAACGGGCTTCCTACAGTGTCAGCTTAAGAGCCAGATTATTTATTTATTTATTTATTTACTTACTTAATTACTTACTTATATATTCAGGAGGCTCCCTGCAAATTCAAACCCAGGCAGGGCTTGTTATATAGCAAGACTGTCAGCCCAAACATAAGGTGTAGGAGAAAGAATTAGGACTGTATTCTGTCAAGGGAGGATGGCTTCAGGCTTTTTATCCTAGTACTCAGGAGACAGTAAAAGGTGTTCTCTGAGTTCCTTGCCAATAGCTAGTATTAAGCTAGTCAGAATTACATGCCAGAACCCTATCTCAAAAGAGGTGGGGTTGGGGCTGGACAGATGGCTCAGAGGTTAAGAGCACTTCCAGAGTGCTCTTCCAGAGGACCTGAGTTCAACTCCCAGCAACCACATGGTGGCTCACAACCATCTGTAATGAGATCTGGTATCCTCTTCTGGCCTACAGGCATACGTGCAGTTAGAACACTGTATGCATAATAAATCTTTTTTTAAAAAAAAAAAAAAGAGGTGGGGTTGAGGAGCCAGTTCCAGCAGGTATTAGTACTGGCTGCTTTTCCAGAGGTTTGATTCCTGGTAGCCACATTGCAGCACAGAGCCATCTGTATGTAACTCCAATTGCAGAAAATCCTGTGGTCTCTTGTTCTTTCTGGCATGTATGTGTTCCATAGACATACATGAAACCAAACACTGAAACTTTTTTTTTTCCCCAAGATAAGGTTTCTCGGTAGCTTTGGCTATCCTGGAACTCATTCTGTAGAACAGGTTGGCCTTTAATCAGATTGATCCTCTTACCTCTGCCTCCAGAGTGCTAGGATAAAAGGCATGTGCCACCATCACTAAACCAAGAATGTTTTTCTTTGGAGGTGACAGCTATGTTCTGCATTGGCAACTTCCTTATTGGTAGACTCTGGCTGTGGGGCAGTGGGGGCACATACCTTTACCCAGAACTTGGGAGGCAGAGGCAGTAAGATCTCTGAGTTTGAGGTAATCCTGTTCTACAAAGTGGATGTCAGGACTGTTACACAAAGAAACCCTGTCTTGAAAAACCACACATAAATACATATTGCTACTGGTACCTTAGTTCATTTTACTTAAATCATTCCTTCTAATTTTGTGTATGTTTTCTTGGCGGTAATAAGCAAATATCTTGGTTAACACGCTAACATGTATTTTTAAATCCATTGTATGTTTTTCAGCAGCTGCGGCCACTGGGGGTTCTGTTCTCAATGTTGCTGCACTGTTGGCATCAGGAACACAAGTGACTCCTCAGATAGCTATGGCAGCTCAAATGGCAGCCCTGCAAGCGAAAGCCTTGGCAGAGACTGGCATAGCTGTGCCCAGCTACTATAACCCAGCTGCTGTGAATCCAATGAAGTTTGCTGAGCAAGAGAAAAAGAGGAAAATGCTCTGGCAAGGCAAGAAAGAAGGCGTAAGTACTTGTGTCCTGTCATTTCCTGTTTATAATGATCAAATTTGCCATAATTAAAATTGAAAATGTGTTATGTGTACAACTTAGGAAAAAATGTGACTCATTTGTAACTTTTTTGGATGATGATACTGTGTTAGAATGTCAAAATGTTGAATTCATTTGAACCAAGCTGTTGAAGAAAACCAGTTGTTTACCTACATATAAGGGGTGGGAGCTAAGCAGCTTGGTCAATGATGAGGCATGAGCCACCATGTTCAACCCTCTAATCCCACCTCTTGGGAGGCTGAGGCAGGTGGATCAGGAGTTAGAGTAGGTTACAGAGTGAGATGCTATCTCAGTGGGCACAAAATATATTATGAGGTAATGTTCACTTAGGTTTCTTTCCTTCATAACTATAGTTATGAATTAGAGTAATCGGATTCTTTGAATCGTTTAATTTTGTCTATATTGTGGAATTTATAAATTTTACATATTCTAAAAGTCAATGCTTTTTAACAGGACAAATCTCAGTCTGCTGAAATATGGGAAAAATTGAATTTTGGAAACAAGGACCAAAATGTCAAATTTAGGAAGTTAATGGGCATTAAGGTGAGTTGTGCCTTGGGATTGATTTCCAACTTCAGCATATTTCAGTTGTATGTCAGTTCTAAGTACTTAATTGAGAATATCTCTGTTCTCCAAGTTAATCCCATAGACATAACTATGCCAGGTTACTGTTGGACAATACAGACTGTTTTGGATTCTCTGCTGATTATGCCTGCTGAGGCCACCTCGTGAGACTTTTAAAAATCTAAAACAGGGCTGAGAATGTAGCTCGGGTTGATAGTCCCTTTGGTTTGGGATTTTTTGTTTGGTTTTTTTGATCTTAATGTGTATCCTGGCCAGTCTCTACTGTTAGGTTTCTTGCTTAGCATTCTTGAGGACCTATGTGGCTTAGGCCTGTGATCCTAATATCTAGGCAGTAGAAGCAGGAAGGACTCAAGTTCATATTTGGGTTTTGGAGGCAGGGTTTTATAGCCCAGGCTGTCCTGGAACTTAATCTGTAGACCTAAGTGCTGGGATTAAAGGCATGTTCCACCACCAAAGATCATCTTAGGCCACATAGAGAGTCTTGTGTTGGTCTTGGCTACATGGAAACCTGTGAAGTTTTGTTTCTGATCTTTCTTGGTCTTAAAGTAATGAATGTGTTAATGTTCTTTTAGGTTAAAAGTAAGTCAGAACAGCCAAGACCACCCAGTGGAAACCCTGTCTCTTAAAACCGAAAAATGAAAAAGACTTAACCATTAATATATAGGGAATTAATTTGATGCAAGCCCAGGAAAGATCTAAAGAAATGGGCTCTTCATTGAAGAGATGTTAACTTAAGCTGGCTTTTGCTTTTTGTTTGTTTGGTTTTCATATATTTATTTTATGTATGTGAGTGCTCTATCTGTGTGCACATCTTCATGCCAGAAGAGGGCATCAGATCCCACTATAGATGGTTGTGTGACACCATGTAGTTGCTGGGAATTGAACTCAGGACCTCTGTTTCACTCTATGTATGGCATTTATATGCTCAATCTTTGCACTATTCTTGATCACACCACTAACAGGAAGTTATTTTTCATTATGCTGTGTTGCATACATAGGACATGTCTTTGCACTTAAAAGTATTTTAATAATTTAGTGTGGAGTGTGGAAGTTACTATTTTATTTCTGGTGCTAGAGAGAGATTCACCTGTTACAAGCACTTGTTCTCCCAGAAGACTCATCTTTGATTCTCAGTATCCACATGGCATTTCACTGCTGTTGGTAATTCTAGTCCTGGGGGAGCCGACATACATGCAGATTGTACAGCCATGCACATAATAATAGAGGTTAAAAATTAAAAAATTTTTTGTATGATATTTAGAGTGAAGATGAAGCTGGCTGTAGCTCAGTTGATGAAGAAAGTTACAAGACTTTGAAGCAACAAGAAGAAGTTTTTCGGAATCTTGACGCTCAGTATGAAATGGCAAGATCACAAACCCACACACAAAGAGGAATGGGTTTGGGCTTCACATCTTCAATGCGTGGAATGGATACAGTTTGAAAACAATATCAATTTGGGACTTTATAGACTTGTTCTGATGTCGGGTCCTTGTTCACCAAACAGCTAGTATTCTAGCTTGCATGGGTGTTGCATTGACTTTAATTTATTGAAAAATGGTTTTTATTTTTTTAAAAAAAACATTTTTTTTTTTTTTTTTTTTTTTTTTTTTTTTTTTTTTTTTGTAAATATCAGATCAGTGATACTGGTGTTAGTGTTGTAATCAGGTTAAACCCACTTCCATTAAACTTGACAGGACTATAGAAGGACAATATTTTTTAGTTCATGAATTCTACTTTTCAAATATATTAAAGCTTCGGGTGGGATAAAATCTCATACATAGATTTTCTCATGTCCGCTGTCTTGTGTACTTTTGTACTTAACCTTGTACAGTTATTTTCATCTCTTGAAACATGAAAGAAATGTTATATGTAGATGTTCTTTAGAAGATCTGGCCATTTGGTACATAATTTGCACACACGAGCTGAGCAGTGATAATAAAAATGGTTTTCTCAAAACTGGTGTAAATTTAAATTACCTGGTGTTCTTGTTTGAGTCTGTTGTATGTAGCATTGATTTTACAATTAAAAACACTGGCTATAAATGCTTTTTTACAGCAGCTGTTTTAGGGTATAAGCAATGCCACAGTGTACAAAAATGTAAAGGGAAGGTGAATGGAACAAATTTATTAAAATGGTAGTTTTTCTATTAGAAGGCAAAATCGGTGTGCAGTATTTGTTAGTCCATGTTATTCAGGAAATAGGTTAATGCATTAAAGGGATGTGAGCACTTTTATATTAATAAAGTGCCTTATAACAAATCTGTTGTATGCTACTTGCTCATTATTACTGTCCTGGAAGAGTTCGTAAACCAGCCTGGCATTGAACTCTCAGAGATATTCCTGCCTCTGCCTCCCAATTGCTGAGATAAAATGTGTGCACCATCATCCCCCAATCAGGAACAACTATGAAGAGCCGAGTGGTGTGGTAGTCCATGCCAATAACCCCAACACTTGTGTGGCTAGAGCTTTGGAGTCTTGTGTGGTGGGTGTTTCTGTGAGTAACATCTAACTAGAATGATGGTGAATGATTTAACACAGATCAAAGGAAGGACTGCATGTAAATTATTTTATGCATACAAGTAAAATTTTGAACTAGATGTGCCTACCCAGCCTTACCTGTGGGAGACCGAGTCTCCCCAAAAAAAGAAAAAATGTATTTCCACAAATGAGGCTGGAGAGATGATTCAAGAGCCTTTGCTGTTCTTGAAGAAAACATGGATTCAGTTTCCAGTACATGGCAGCGCACAACTACACAACTACTTATTCAAGTTATCTGGGTTCTGATACCCTCTCCTAACCTCCATGATTACTGTACACATATGCATAGATCACGCAAAACACATGAGCAGAAAATTCTTAACTATTTAAAGGACAAAGGGTAACTTGCTTAGTTTATTTAAATGGAAATGCTTTTGTTCTCCCTCTCATCGTATTAGCTCATTTCTGTAGTTTTTAACCAGTCAATCCAGCCCTTGTAATTTCTCAAAAGCCTGATGTTTGTTTTCCTTCTATTTATGCAGATTCACTGTCTTCAACTCGATTTGTAAAAACAAATGTTAGCAGAATGTTTTCAACTTAGTTGCTCTAAGCTTAACCTAGAAATCCAAGTCCCTAATAAGGCCAGCCACAAAGGATATGTAGGCTCTAGCAATAACTATTAATGGTGAAGGACAGTGGATATAAAGACATACAGTGAAATATTAAAATTCCCTCTTGGAGAAATCAAAGAAAGGCTCAGATACTGGAATCCCATCGCCAGGGAGGCTGGCAGAAAGATTGCCCCAGGCCAGCCTGGGGCAAGCAAAAAGGGCCTGGGGAATATAGCACAGTTGCTACATGTCTAGCCATGGATTTAATGTCCAATACCACATAAACTGGGGTACATGAGATATCAAGTCTTATAAGACCATCACAAATAGAATCACTCTGCCCCTATCTATATTTAGTTCTTGAAATGCTAAATACTAAGTTTTCTGGGACAGGGAGGTTATGACAGTGTTTCTCAACAGACGAGGATGAACTCCCTGCCTGGCTGCCTCTGCCTCCCAAGTGCCGAGATTAAAGGTATGCACTACCACCACCTGGTACATACAGTTTTTTTAAATCACTGGGCTTTTCCCCCCTCATTAGCCCACCAAAAGAAAAAAAATCTACATTTTCAAACTATTCCATATCCCATTAATTTCAAGTGACCACTTATTTGACCAGTTTAAGTTGGAACCCTGGCAACTAAATACTACGTAACTTTCTCTCAATACCTTTAACCAACAAACATTCATCTCTTATCTTTTAAATATACCTTTTTTGTTTGATTGTTCTTTTGGGTTTTTGAGACAGGGTTTCTCTGTGTAGCTTTGGAGCCTATCCTGGCACTCGCTCTGGAGGCCAGCCTGGCCTCGAACTCACAGAGAGCCGCCTGCCTCTGCCTCCGGAGTGCTGGAATTAAAGGCATGCTCCACCAATGCCCAGCTGAATATACCTGTTTTTCCCCAACACTATTGCTGATACAATCCAAGTTTTCTTTCCCTACTCCCTTTTGGTGATGGAAGGCAAACACTCAGGGACATCATACAAATCAGAAAAGTTCAACTACTGAGCTGCAATCTCTAGGACCCCAACCTAACCCGGCCCCTACAAACTACAATTTCCATAATTTGAAAACCTATCGCCGGATGATGATGGCGCACGCCTTTAATCCCAGCACTCGGGAGGCAGAGGCAGGCCAGCTTGGTCTCCAGAACGAGTGCCAGGATAGGCAAAGCTACACAAAGAAACCCTGTCTCAAAAAACCAAAAGAAAAAGCCTATCCCGGTGGAGAGATGGCTCAGAGGTAAAGAGCACTGACTGCTCTTCCAGAGGTCCTGAGTTCAATTCCCAGCAACCACATAGTGGCTCACAACCATATGTTATGAGATCTGGTGCCCTCTTCTAATGTGCAAATAAATCTTTAAAAAAAAAAAAAAGGAAAACCTATCAATCATTGTTTTATTTCATTTCTTCTCCATCCTTAAGACTATCTTATCAATAGGTAAGTTTGCTGTTACAATCAGACCATGTATTTAAAATGTCTAACTGACTTTAGCTGGTAGACAGTCCAGAAGAACTTGGCTAATGTTCCAGATTCATCTTGCTCCACTTTGGTTTCCCATCCTACCCACTACTTTTATCTTCATTTTCTTCTCTACCCTGGCCACCAATTTGCCCACTTAATCTTTCACATTTCAGTTCCTGTTTTTCCCTTCACTTACAGACACCAACAGGGTATTCTTTTTTTCTTTTATTCTTTCCAAGTTGGAGAATAGACAAGATGTCTCATGTAGCCCAGGCTCACTACAAACAGGCCTTGAATTCCTGATTCTAAATACGCCACAACTGACCTGACTTACTATTCTTTGTTACACATTATAATTACCTATGTTTTTAACATGTGATGACGAATATCCATTGAAATCCCGTGCAACAAGAAAGTAGAAACGGGGGTGCTGGGGAGATGGCTCAGAGGTTAAGAGCACTGCCTGCTCTTCCAGAGGTCCTGAGTTGAATTCCCAGCAACCACATGGTGGCTCACAACCATCCGTAAAGAGATCTGGTGCCCTCCTCTGGCCTGCAGGCACACATGCAGACAGAACAGTGTTTACATAATTAAGTTTATGAGGCAGACATTAGTACGCTGGTTCTAGAGAAGGGTCTGACACATTAAAGGCAGTGAATATATATTGAATGAGTGAATTATGAACCCACAAAAGCCTACTCAGAGAAATCCAGAACAATGTAATAACCTAATTTTACTTACATTCATTTTAAAAATGAAACAAGCACAATAAAATGAAATAACGAGTACAAATGTCATCTGCGGCAAAGGTAGAGTTCCTGTTTTCTCTTTTTGACGTGGCGCAAACGCACCACAATGTGTCATAAACCATATATCCGGCTCTGATCCTTCAGCTTTGGACGCTTAACAAGGACAACCCATATTTTAACTCATTCGGAATCCTTTCGAAAAGGATCAATCCCAGTGTGCAATGCAAACAATCGGTCCAGTCGCTAAGAAACCACACATCCCAGGATGCCACGCTCCAAGACTCTGTCGGAAGAAAGCATGAGGAAGGCTGTGGCATTCTGGGAGTTGTAGTCTTCGGGCAAGTCCCGCCCCTAGAGCGGCTTTGGAGGCCTGCGTGTGGGGAAAAGCCTTTAGAGAGAGCGGTGTCTCCCTACAACCTTCGCCCCCTGCCCTCGAATCTTTCCCACAACCCAAAATGGCCGCTGGTGTGGATTTTGGAGACCTAGAGCTATTCGAAGCGTTTGACCCTCAAGAGGAGTCGACCCCGAAGCCCGTTCACACCCGTTTCAAGGACGACGACGAGGAAGAGGAGGACGACGATGAGAATGGGGTGGGGGACGCGGAGCTACAGGAGCAGCTTCGGCACTGTGAGGAAACCATTCAGCAACTCCGCTCCGAGAATATCCTTCCGGCTCGTTGGCCTTGTCACCTGGGACTTAGGGTCTCTGTAGTGCGGGCGCGGGCACGGCGGAAATTCCAAGAGAACCAGCATTCTAAGTCATTTCTCCCGCGGCTC